CTAATCAACTGTAGGCAACCATTGCCTCATAAAGTCAACATTTATTGAACATCTGTTGAGTACCTGGTTCTCCTCTAGTTGCTCAAAGTATAGCCTGTTAGGTAGTGACAAGTGCTTTGTGAAAAATTGAAGTGGCTCATTCAGGAAGAAGGCATTCTTATTTCATAAAGGGGAGGCAGAGGAGGCCCCATCGAGAAGGTGACATTTTAATAGACAGTTTAATAATATCTGGGATGGCAAATAACTGTCCAGGAAGAGGGACAACTAATGAAAATGCCGTATAATGTGAGTATTCTGAGTGCATTTGTAGAACCCAGCTCGGTGTGCCTGGCAAAGTGAGCTAGGGAGAAGGCCGTGTAGGGAATAGGACTGGAGGGATGGGAGCAAGGCAGTGTTTTTATGTGGAGGGTTTAATATCCTGAGTTTTGTCTTCCATCCCCAGAATTTCTGATTTACTAGTTCTAGGGTTGGAGAGGAATTTGCATTTAGAACCAGTAGAGTAGGTGGAAGCTGACTGTGAGGAGGTAATAATCTCATTACACGGATGTGCCATACCATCTTTTTATGGTATTAATCAGCTGTCTGTTGTTTGTTTGACCTCTCCCTCCCAATTCTAGTAACTGTATGTTTCATTTGGTGTGTGAATCTTCATGATTGGCAATTAAATCTTCCTTTAGTAAGGAACATGAAGCTGCAGGAATTTTAACACTGTTCCAGTTGTGGATTTGGTGAGAATAATATTCTTTTTCATTTTCATTGTTTTGATAAGTAGTAACTAAATTTACCGAACAAAGACTGTGATGTCCCGTTGGTGAAATGTAGGGAGGTGAGCTGGAAGAAGACTAATGACTTCTACTGGTTCATTTTTTAAAATGCAAACAGATCACTTCTTTAAGATTTTTAACTTTTTTTCCTGTCAGCTTTTTTACTTCTGTGCGTGGCACTTCAGTATTCATTTTCTTGACTTACACTCATTTTCAATAATCTAAGTCCTTCTGCTGTTTATTTCTTCCCCATATTCCAAAGCAGTGTCTGTTTCTGATGTCAGCAATCGCACGATCCACAAACCTTTAGATTCAGGTGGCCTTTGCTTCCAAGATAGAGCAAGTGATGTGGACAAGCATATCCTTCTGACAGCCTGGTTTCTGAGCACCTTTCTCATGCTTCCCTTTTTCTAGGTGCTTTATGTTTCTCTCTGTGACCAGCTGCTGTCCAGGAACCGTTGGAACCCCCATGGCTGCTGCAAATTTTGCTGCCCCTTCGTCAGTCAGAATGCAATGAGATGCCTGTTTCAGAACAAGCTGTGCAAGTTTAATGGGATTTGCTGTACAGCAGACTGCAGACACAGCTCCTACAGACAGGTCTTTTCCATTCATGGAATGGATACTAGCATCCATTTCAACTTCACCATTTACGTTCAAGACTGACCCATAACCTGTGTTCAACTCGGAATCATCCTCCAGGACAGTCATGGCTCCTTCTACGGCGTCAACCGCGCTCTTTCCCTCCTTGAGGACATTGTAGCCAGCAGTGGCAGCTCTGACAACACCCTGGTGCACCCACTCTTTCCGGTCCTTGGAGATACTGCTGATCCGCCCCCATGGACCATGACCACGGGATTCATGTTTGCGGATCCGGCTGCCATCTGGCCTATTTCCACAGAGAACTTCAGCCACTGACCCGTACTGGGCCCCTGGCTGCAAAGAGACGGGGAAGGCGTCCCAGGGCCAGAGCCTCCAGCCCTCCTTCTAAGTTCCACATGGGATCTCGTTTCCCCTGGGGAAGTCCCTTTTCACATGCCTAGAAGTCCTGGATATCTGTAGGCCACTGGTGGGGCCCCTGGGAAAGAAAACAGCCCTAAGGCAGTTCCTAATTCCCGGGAAGCCAAAGCACCCAGGCCTTGCTGTATCTCAGAGGCCATTCCAGGCCTGTCAGAGGTGGGAGACAGCAGGGAATCATGGTCACCAAACTGACTCCGGGGGAAAGAGGGTAGAGCAGGCCATATGGAGCCTGAGGGTAACTACAACTGAAACCTCAGTGTGCTCTTTAAGTATTTTTAAGCTGCTTTAATCAGGCATGATTCACATACTATGAACTACAGATATTTAAAGTGCACAATTTGAGGAATTTTGACATATGTACCCTTCAGGGAACCACCGCTAAAATCAATGTAGTCAATATACCCACCACTGCCAGAAGCTTCTCAGTGCCCCTTGGTCATCTTCGCGAGCAGCCTCTGATCTGCCTTCTGAATGTGTAGCTCAGTTTGCATTTTTCACAGCTTTATGTGCTTGGAATCAGACTGTCTGTACCCTTGTTCATCTGGCCCCTTTTTGAGAGCCATCCGTGTTACTGATGTCAAATCTCCCCTTAGTGCTGAGCACTTCTCCATTGCCCCGTACTTGGTCTGAGTGTGGAATGTGCCTCTTTTAAGCTGGGTTCATTGAAGTGTAGTTTACAGTCAGTAAGGCGTACNAGAAGAAGAGAGAGGAAAAGGGATAGAAATTGTCTTTGAGGAGGTAATTGCTGAAAACGTCCCCAATCTGGGGAAAGAGTCTCTCAGGCCATGGAGGTGCACACATCTCCCAACACAAGGGACCCAAGGAAGACAACACCAAAACATATAATAATAAAAATGGCAAACACAAAGGATAAGGATAGACTTTTAAAAGCAGAAAGAGAGAGAAAAAATATCACATACAAAGGAAAACCCATCAAGCTATCATCACACTTCTCAACAGAAACCTTACAGGCCAGGAGGTAGTGGCATGATACAGTTAATGCAATGAAGCAGAAGGGCCTTGAACCAGGAATATTCTAACTAGCAAGATTATCATTTAAATTTGAAGGAGGGATTAAGCAATTTTCAGATAAGCGAAAGCTGAGAGAAGTTACATCTAACAAACTACCTCTACAGTGCATTTTGGAGGGAATGCTATAGATGGAAATATTCCTAATGCTAAATAACTGTGACCAGGGGAAATAAAACCACAGCAAAGAAAGTAGAACAGTTAATTACTAAGCAGCTGCAAAATCAAATCAACTTATCCCAAAGTCAGTCAAGGGATAGATAAAAAGTACTGAATATGATACCTAATATATAAAGAATGGAGGAGGAAGAAAAAGGAGGAAATAAAAAAGAACCTTTAGGTTGTATTTGTAATAGCATATAAAGTGAGTTAAATTACACTGTTAGATGGTAAGGGAATTACTGTTGAACCTTTGGTAACCAGAAATCTAAAGCCTACAATGACAATAAGCACATACCTATTGATCATCACCCTAAATGTAAATAGTCTGAATGCACCAATCAAAAGACATAGAGTCACTGAAAGGATTAAAATACAGGATCTGTCTATATGCTGCCTACAAGAGATTCACTTCAAACCCAAAGACATACACAGACTGAAAGTAAAGGGATGGTCATAGATATTTCATGCAATGAATAGGGAGAAAAAAGCAGAAGTTGCACTACTTGTATCAGACAAAATAGACTTTAAAAAAAGAAAGTAACAAGAGACAAAGAAGGACACTGCTTAATAATAAAGGGGTCATTCCAACAAGAGTATATAACGATTATAAATATCTATGCACCCAACACAGGATCACATACATATGTGAAACAAATACTAACAGAATTAAAAGGGGAATAGAATCCAATGCATTCATTTTAGGAGAATTCAACACACCACTCACTCCAAAGGACAAATCAACCAGACAGAAAATACATAAGGACACAGAGGCACTGAACAACATATAAGAACAGATGAACCTAACAGATATTTACAGAACTCTCCATGCAAAGGCAACAGGATACACATTCTTCTCAAGTGCACATGGAACATTTTCAAGAATAGATCATATACTAGGCCACAAAAAGAGCCTTAGTAAATTCAAAAAGAATGAAATTGTACCAGTCAACTTCTCAGAACACAACGGTATGAAACTAGAAATAAATTACACAAAGAAAATAAAAAATCCCAGAAACACTTGGAGGCTTAATAACATGATCCAATCAATGGATC